AACTTTGCAGAAAGGCGAGCAAGATCAGAGAGGGGCAGCAGATCCAGGAAGACCAGAATATTGAGATGGCAGCTGATGCAGCTGAATCCCAACGCAATGAGAAGAATGAGAAGAGTCGTGAGACTGAAAATGGCACAGATGGTGATGATGGTGTGGACGCATCGACACTTAGCTACGCCCAGGAGATGACCGAATTCCTACTTTGGGATTGTGCCTCTCAGCTGAGACATACACCCAGGTTCTCCCTGTGCTGTATACCAACAGTTTATGCTTGCAGCGCCATGGACATGCTGCTCTATGTGGGCCATGTCCTGGAAACTGGCGGCTCGCTTGTGAGGACTCTGGTCATGGACAACGCTGGGAACCATCGATTGGTCAAAGATTTCTTGTTAGGCCTCAACCATGGATTGACCTCCGATGTTGTGAAGTCTTTGCCATTTTGGCGGCATATGAGGTGGGAATCACTCCCAGAAACCAGACTACCACGATTCCCATTCAAGAAGGCCGTGATGAATGGTGAGGTCCTGTTCATCTTGAACGGACCTGCACATGTGGCAAAGAATGTTGTGGGAGGTGTGAGATCAGCCGCAAGAACGATTTGCTTTGGCAAGTACAGCGTAGATCCTTGTGGCTGCTTAGACCTCTTCATGCCTCCGAACGCATACATAGGATATGATCCATGCAGCGATCGTGAAAGTGCCAGCTTCTTCAACCCCTACCACTTGAACGTGGAAATGGTAGACAAAGTTGCTGACATCCGTGTACCATGGTGTCTTCATGGGATGCTGCTCATGAACCTCACCACTGCACTCATTACTTCAGGAGAACATGGTCATAAGATTCATAAGAGTCTTAAGATTTTTTTTAAAGATATATAAAGATATTAAAGATGGTGTGTTGCGAAAGGTTGAACAAACTTGGGGTCTTTTGGATCTTTGGGCGACAGTAAGCATAAGCAGTGCATAAGCGTGATTGAGTCGAATGTTTTTGCGGTCAGGAGTTTTCCACCGTGGGCTCACCACATCCCAGCGTTTGGAAAATGCGCTGGCAGGCTTTGTGATCCTGGATTTGGGCTCCATGCTGGCTGCAGAAACCGCGAAAGAAACAGGACAAAGCAAAGACAGATGCTGGCTACACCATGCGACACACAACAATTTGCAGCAGCTGAGCGGTTGCTTGGCAATTGCGTGCTCTGCATATCCTGATTCTTTGCCTTTCAAGCCATGGTATAGCACAGAATTGGTCCTTGAGGAGTGGTTTGGATCACTCAGGCACCAGTTCAAGAGCAGCCAAATGACGGTGAGGGATTACCTACATGCTTCTGCAAGACAGATGAAGAGTCACTTGCAGCGTTGCTCGGATCTTCAAGAAGGACGAATATTGAAGAGCTCTTCAAAGATGGCTGATCCCTTGCCTGAGTCGACTATGTTTAAAGCAGTCTCTGAGAAGGAGTTCCAGGAATGCGCAGACAGAGCGCTTGAAGGCGCACTTTCTTTGATGTCCTGCTGCTGCAAGTACTCTCCAGAGGAGTTGTTGAAGCACTATGCTTCGTTCAGTGCTGCGCGCAAATTTCAAAATGTGACCATGGAGAACAACATTGATGATTCTGAGGATCCTGAAGTGGACTTTGAAGATGATCAGGATGCACCTCCCGGATTTGTGCACAAGTCTTCTGATGTGGAGCGCAGTAGCAAAGATGTCGAATCAGAGCCTATGTCCAGCAGTGACAAGCAATGCTTGCTTTTGCTTCAACAACTTCAGGCCAGAGAATCTTTTGATGCTTCTGGGTTGGAGGTTCCCTCATCATCGACATCAGCAAACCGCGAAGAGATGCAACGATTGGGTGCCGGGTCAATGCCACCCCCTGTGTCTTTAGATGAGGTTTGTTGGAAAGAGATGATCGATGCAGATACTTCGACATTTGCTTCAAAGCCAGGTTCAAACGGAACAGATAGAGCAGCCCTGCCGGAAAAACAAGCCAGTCCATCCACATCAACATCGTGGAAGGCATCAAATGTCAAGACCTTGACTTCTGTTTTTCAATCTATGTGCAGTGCCAGTCCCCTACGTCATCTTGATCCAGTCATTGGATTGCTATGGCTTCTTCTCACAAACCTACGGTGTCCAGCAGACTCACGCTTTCTCAAGAACCCTCAGGGATGTCGTATAGTCACGAAGAAGTTGAATTGGCAACAACTCCATGAGCGGGAATGCATGCTGATCAGACAACAAACAGGTGTTTCTGGGAAGAGGACCGGGTTTTTTCTTATAGAAATGTCTTTGGGATCTTTGGGAACAAGATGAACAAGAAGAACAAGGGCTTGAATCATATGATTTCATATCTTAATCACCGATAAAGATAATAAAGACATATGCTTTCTTTGGCTAAATTTCCAAGGGGACAAGGTTTTATTGTGTCATCTTCAAACACATGGGGAAAAATATGTTCTGGTTGTATATGATTCCATTTCTCCACCACTTGTGCCAGAAAAAGTCTGTTTGGCTAGAATTCCTGGGGGGCAAGGTTTTTTCATGTCATCTTCAAAGGTCTGGAGAAAAATCTGTGCTGCTTATGGTTCGATTTCTCAATCACCTGTGTCATCACACGGTTTGTTTCTTTGGCTAAATTTCCTGTGGGGCAATGTTTTCATGTCATCTTCAAAGGTCTGGAGAAAAATCTGTGCTGCTTCTGGTTCGATTTCTCAATGACCTGTGTCATCACATGGTTTGTTTCTTTGGCTAAATTTCCTGTGTGGCAAGGTTTTTTCATGTCATCTTCAAAGGTCTGGAGAAAAATTTATGCTGCTTATGGTTCGATTTCTCAATCACCTGTGTCATCACATGGTTTGTTTCTTTGGCTAAATTTCCTGTGGGGCAAGTTTTTTTCATGTCATCTTCAAAGGTCTGGAGAAAAATCTATGTTGGTTATGTTTCCACTCCTGCAGGACAAGCAGGGCTGCAGCGTGGAGAGAGCTTGCTGCTTCATTGGCTGCAAAGATCCAGTCCCCGGAAGCATCAGTCCCAGATGAGATTGCGATGTCCTTTGTGGTGTTGTGCCTTCCCCAGAATTACCAAGAATGGCAGATTGGATTGATCATGGCTGTATGGAGAAAGACGGCTCGTGGTTGCAGGCTCACACACTTTCCAGTATCGCGAGATGTCACTCGTTGCGCACGATTGGCAATCACGGAGAGAGTGCCACGCCCAGACAGCCCAGAGAAGATGTCCTTCCGCACAACACCTTCTACCCCCATGGTTGTGGTTGCAGTCGAAAGGATTGTCTTGGTCTTGCAGGTTGAGGAGGTGAAGACTGGCTGCGATGGCTTTCAGTGTACGCTTCGAACCAAGAGTGTGGAAGCTTTGCAGTTAGCTATGCAAGAGCTCCCCAAGGATCCCAAAATGTGGGAAACGAATACTTCCCAAACTTCGAACGCCAAAAAGTCCAAAGATTCCAAAGGCTCAAGCGAAGTCAAGATTCCCAAGGCCGTGGAGCAGAAGTTGAAGAAAAGCCTGGTGCAGCAAACGATTGGTAAGGCAAAGAAAGCAACGGAAGACATTCCAGTTCCTGAACTTAAACAATAAAGACAACCTTCAACATTTTAAATGCTTGTATATGATTGGAAAAACATATAACCAAAACAGGTTCATGTCACACGTCTAAAACAGATTGCTGAGGCTGTACCTGCAAACTTCAATCGTGGAAAGCGTGGCAATTCCTTGATCATACAGGAGATGCAGAAGCTCTTCACTTTGGATCGTGAAAAGCACCCAACCAAGCCCTTGCTCAATGCAGATGGCAAGCTCTACGTCAAGAATGCTGCTGGCGAACGTTTGCCAGGCTTGACTTGGACAGAGGTGCTTGATCGATCTCCCAGCTTCTTCAGCAACAAGTATGCGAGCCATCGTGGACAAGCCTATGGGAATATGGTTCACACCGAATTTGTACGCATCACGCGGCAGTTGAATGCTTCACCATCTGTGCGGTCTGTGGCCTGTCAATGATTTAAGATCAGTGCGATGGTTTACTCTATTTTTCTACGATTCTTTTTCATTCTGGGTGTCTCCTCAGATTTAAATGATCCCATTTCAGGATTTCCTCAAGTTGCTCCGTGAGATTCCATTGGGCAGTACTGGGACTGTCTCTGATGAAGCGTGAGCTAGAATGCTGGATGACAATGATCCAGCGGGGTTTCTTAGCAGTACAGAGTGATTCGGCAGACTTTTACCGTTTTTGTGGAAATTTCATCGAATCTCCAATTCGCCTTTGATGATTTTGATGAGCTGAATCCATCGCTAAGTATGGCAATATGGTGCATACACTTTGTGTGCATTGCTAGTCAGTTGAGTGCTTCACCGTCTGCCAGTGATTGAACATCATGTCCATGGTTACTTTTTCTCATAGATATTTAGATCATTTTGACAGGGTGATAAGAAATTCAATTGATTCCATATCAGGATTTCCTCAGTTTGCTTTGCGACTTTCCGTTGGGCTACGCTGGAGATGGCTCTGATGAAGCGTGAGGTGTGTGAGCTAGAATGCTGGATGGCAAAAAAAAGAAAGCACGATCTGGCAGATGTGGACTCAGTTCTTGTCAAACCACGTCTGAAATCTATATTTCAAGAATTTTACCCCACTGTACTGTGTGAACTTGTTTATCCAAGTGGCGCTGAATATATTTTGCGGTCCTACGTACGCCCCGGGGTTGGCACTAACATTTATCCAGGAGAAATATCTAGCTGAGACCTAGGTCCCAGGAATCCTATCCGGATAAATCTGTGTGCCTACCCCACCTGTGCATGTCAACCGGGGATTTTTTGGGGGGCATTTTCTCACTGTTAATTTATTGCATACCTGATGGTTCCTCTTGCCCACGTATCGGTGTTTTGCCTTTCCAAGATGGTAAACATGAACACGCTGTGTAGAGGAATGTGATGTTGATTCACGTGGTTGTTGGTTGGACAAAGAACTACCGCTCAAACAAGGCGACCAACGCTCGCAGGTCGACGGTGACCTTCACCAACCGCAACAGTGCCAAAGGCTGCCGCAACCAAAGCTCGATTGTCCCTTTGGCCAAAGACTGCTGGAAGGGATGTCCGTGCGAAGATGGTTGCTGTCATTGAAATGTGGTTGCGAAGGTGTTCCTGACAAACACCACAGGCTATGTGCGCTTGTGTTGGAGACAAGCTGAAACCCGAGCAAGGCTAAACCTGACCCGTTGGTTGTTGAGAAACCCAACAGCTGGTCAGCTTGCCAGTCCAGCCAGGGGTGCCCCTACTTGTTTGACAAATATGCCCAAAGCAAATCCCAGGGCGTCTCTGTCAGATCGGATCATATCATGCAATGTGAGTGGTCATGCCTGGCTGGGCAACATAGCAAATTAGCGATGCCTGCAAGCAAGCGTTACTCAGGCTCTGTTGACGATTCCACAGATGTATTTTCGTCGCTTGGCACAGTGGGCATGGGGAAATTGAAGAGGACTGGGTCCAACAGTGATGCAACAGTGTATAAGGGAGTGACTTTTGTGTGAGATTTTTCATGGCCCGGCCAATTGTGGCACAACATTGGGTGAGCTCTAAGCCTGGCCAACAAAAAGGAACCAGGCAGACCTGCAGAAGAACCTGAATCCACTTTGTCCAACTGAGGAAACATCATCGAGCTCCTGCAGTGCTCACCGACTTCAGCCCATGAGATCGTCCAGGTGTAAATCGGTGGATTCGTGGTGTTCAGTTGGAAGCCGCGCATAATGCTGATATTAATAACAGTAATAGAATGATAGAATATCGTATACATCCCCCATGAATGAAGTCTTATGAAATGACGATCCTTTTCTCACATAAAATGCAAATTCCACGGGATATTTCATAAACATAAGGGTCTGTATTTTGGCAACATATTTTGGATAACTACCTAAGATCTGGAGTATCGATTTACACAGGTCATCTAATAAACTTCAGTAACTTCGAGAGTGAATGACAGTAATAGATGGCAGATGAACCCACAAGTATAATTTTATAGGAATTCAGTTGGCAAGGTGTTGGAGGCTGGTCAAAACACGCTTTCTCATTTTAAAAAGATCACGTTCTGGACTGGAGTTTGAATTGGTGTTTTGATTTGATTTCTTGAAATCAAGAACTTTTTAATTAAAAGGCTACGGATGTGGCATCATACGGAGATTCCCGATTCGCAATCTAATTTCATAAATTGTCTCTTCTGGATGTATATTTCTATCTTAACCTATCATGACCTATGCTGGACATTTTATAAACTAGTTGGTTTTCTTTTTATAAGCAAAAACACCTATCCCTCACATTTTATAAGCACAAATGATTTTAAATGACAATTCGACCCGCCTATGAACAATTAAGGGGGATTCATTTACTGTATTTACACACGCTACATATATAATTTACAACAAAACATAATGTAACCTGTAGCAAAATACAATATGCAATATAATCAGGCTGTCGAAAAAAATACAGAGCACGATGGAGCCCACGAACGCGAATGCCCAATTGTGGCGCCCAGAGAATAAGAGAACACAATGTAAATAGACGGCCCTTCAAAGACTATACAGGATCAAGGTGGTGGGCTTGGCAAGGTAAAATCCATAACGACCAACAACCAACTTTACCTACATGAGCGGACTTTACTTCGCGATCCTTGGGCCCACAAACCACGCGATCGAGAAGTCCTTATTCCTTATGTTAAAAAGCTTCAGTAGACAAGTCTCTGATCTGGACAGACGCACGAGATAATATAGTAACAAAATTGAAACATATAAAATAATGCGGTGAGATAAACGTGTATACACTGATAACTCATAACACAATTGTATATTTTGTAGAACTTTTTGTGCAAGATGCAACCTATCTACAGCAAATAGATACTCAGTTTGGATTTTTCGGTAGTCATGTTCTTTTGAATTTTGCTGGGCTGTGCAGTCTCGACCACGTCTACATAACCATCCACGGGCACATGGCAGCAAAGAATTGATCGGGCCTGTTGCGGCACCTTGTGGCTCCTACTTCACATTAAAAGACACAACAACACACACACACACACCTCCCTTTTTGACCTCTCCGCTTTCGTGTATGTTTTGATGGATGACACGTTTTGGAGGAGGCTTTGCGGGAGAGCTTCCATGAGTTCCAGTTCTGGTCCGCGGGGCCGGTGAGGCAATGCATCCACGCCACCCGGACCGTAAGACCGAATCATTGAAGAGGAAGGAGAGAGTTTGCAGCAAGTGGACAGGAATCATGTGCAAATCGTTTGTTTGCAAGAACACACTTTTGGCATGTCTTTATTGGAGCATGCCGCATGCCTTGCAATTATGCGTCCCTTCTTTCTCCAATGTTTTGTTTGGTTCGGACTAGACATTCACGACGCGCTCGTCTCACTTGTGAGACGCCATAGCACACCATGGCTTGTTACAAGGACTCCGAATGGAACTGCGTTGTCTCATGTTTTTCCATTTTGTGGTTCTGCCGTGATTTTCGCAATGGGGGTGGAGGTTGAATCTTTTTCCTTCCAGCAAATCTCGATCTCCTTTTAGCCCCCAGTCATTTGCCCCGCCCTAAGGCTCCAGCGAACCAAAGCGCGTCATGGCAGCATCCGAGCCGACGCCGTGCTCGTTGTTTCCAAACAAACAAACAAAGAAAACAGGCCCAAAAACGCGAAGAGAAGTCGGCGAAGGCATTCCGATTCCGAACATGGATTCCGTTTGGTGGTTGGACATTTGGTCGATTTGTTCAACCCGAAGTTGGGAACAAATTTTGTACTGGCAGGGCGGTTCTGGGCGTTCAAGAAGAAAAACATCGGTCCCAGTGAATCGGACGAAGATCCAAATCTAGGGTAAAACCTGATCCTTGACTTCCTAATGCTCAAGCCATGCACGGCCATCAGCACCATTGGTGGGTCACGAGTGCTTGCTTTTGCTGAGGTCGAATGGATGCACCTCCACACCTTCTGTCAGTGACCTCAGATGGGTGGCCGTTTTTCCTTTTTGAGTGTCTCGATGGGAGAGGCTAGATCTCCTTGGATGGGACAGCTGCTTGCAGGTATGCAAGGTATGCAGCAAGGCGGTTAGTGAAAGTTTCCAGATACTGGAGTTCTTACTAGATTGTAATACATTTTATACGTGATAGAATGCCCAGTTGGGGAGGTTGAGTATATAATAGGGAGTGGGATTATAGACATACTCTGTCAGCTCAATGCTCGCTTGGATGACTGTCGGTGTCGGCACCTGCCCGCACTGCTTGAGCAGGTCCCTTGTGGTTGTTTATTGGTGGCACCAAACCGACCAAACCGACAGACATACGCAGTTCGGGGCACGGGCAAGTGTTTCCCGATCTGCCTGATCTGAACGCAAAGTCCCACAACAACGGCCTGAGATACCGACCTGGTACGTATTCCGGGTATCTAGAAGTATAGCTCTTGATTACAATGAAGGAATTGCTGTAAATCTCTTAGTGGAGGCCATCGCTAGGGTGGAGGCCATTGCTACTAGGGTGGAGGCCATCGCTACTAGGGTGGAGGCCATCGCTACTAAGGTGGAGGCCATCGGTACTAAGGTGGAGGCCATCGCTACTAGGTTGGAGGCCATCGCTACTAGGTTAGAGGCCATCGCTACTAGGTTGGAGGCCATCGCTACTAGGTTAGAGGCCATCGCTACTAGGTTGGAGGCCATCACTACTAAGAGGCCATCGCTACTAGGGTGGAGGCCATCGCCACTAGGGTGGAGGCCATCGCTAGTCACTCCTCGACTTGTCGAACACCAACGGTGGCCGGTTGCTGCACCGCACTTCATCTCCCCCCAGGCTCAGCAGGCCATCTGGACCGGATGCCAGGGGGTGGCTCCTGGTGCGGGCGGATGTGGTCGGCGGAGGAGGGCCAAGGCTTGGCGGAGGAGATGCTTTCCTGGGCGAAGGCGAGGGCCAAAAAGGAGGGGGCTGAAGCTGGCGGATGCTGAAGCTTGCGGCAAAGTGGCGATGATTGCAAGCAGGTCTAATTCTTGTGTGGTTTGAAACTATTATACCACCCCCAAAGCAAAGTCATGGAAGCGGTAAAGGCACTAATTAAATTGCACACATGTGTGCCATTCCTGTGCCATGAGGTGTTTGCGGTAGGTTGCATTTTGACAGATTGCCTTCAAGACAGCTCCAAGACTCAACCATGGTCATTGGTGTGAAGATCACTTGTCCCCCCCATCAGCATACATGAGAAGAAATGTATGAAACCCTTCCCCCCCGAAATGTGGAGATCAACCATGGTCATTGTGTGAACCTGCCCAAAGCAGCTGAGCTCACCTGTGAACCATCGCAGCTGCTGCCGACCGCGCAGGTTTTGGACACACCTCCTCGCTCACTGCATTTGCGCACGTGAGACAAACAAATGCGAGTGCAGGAGTTTTTTTCACGCTTTTCACTGCCAAATTTTGGGTGTCCCAAACATGGGTCCAACCCTCCAACCACATCTAGTCAGTGTTGATGAGCCCCAGTTCAGGGGACTCTTCCAAACGCTTGGAAAAGCAGGTCTAATATTTCTTTTGCCATTCTTGCGATGGACGGACTGGAGTTCATGTGCCGAGACATGAGTTTAGACGATTAGGACCAATGGATTGGTTAATTTTCCCTCTTGGGGTGTCCCTCAATTTCAAGACCCATCTACACATGAAGACAACGACTTCTGGCTAAACTGCTGGCTTTCCGATACAAATGGAAACGTTCATGTTGTGCTGGAGCTGCTGGAGCTCAACCCAGGCCGATTCCGAAGGACCAGAGCCAAGCTTTCTTCTTGGTGGGGTCCCTCCTGTTGTGGAAATTCTGTCAAAAGAAGCCAGGGATCATAGAAATGAAGCTCCGACATGCCCCTCACCGGAATAAGGAGACCCTCCCCTGACCGGAATGGGTCGCCGTGCACCGATCGGTTGCCGCAGTTGTTTCATTCCCAAGGAATCGATGAGCAAACGAGCCTCATGACAGCAAAAAAACAGAGAGGACGCACCATCGAGTCATCCAACAGCATCGACCTGCGCGCGTATTGATCCCGCGCCGATCGGCATTCGCTCACCCCATGGCGGCACACTGGATTGCGGATGCCTTCGCGTATACGGGGAGCCTCTGGCAGAAGGTGCGATGTGGGTGCCACGTGGGAACAAGTTTCTGCAAAACATCGGGATGTGGCTCAAAATGTACTCATATCAAGAAGTACAGAATCCATGAAAGCTTGTAACTTGTAAGCTAAGGCAAGTTAAAGCAACATCCCATTCCTTTCAAAGACGTGAGTTTGGGCAGATGTCCTTTTTTTTCCACGTGAGAATAAAGCACATGGCTGAGGGATTCGTGCGCCAAACTTGACAAATGGAAGACTGTTCCGAAGTTGGGTCGGATCCATGTTGATGGCCGGATCAATGCGCCCATCCAGATGTGCTGCCCATCCAAAGGAACGGCAACACATGTCAGCTGAGATTCCATGATAAATGGGAACCATTACCAGAGTTTTTTTTTCGCAACATTTTTTCAAATCTGGATTTGCCTGCGCTTATCCTTATCCCGACTCCTCTCATCACGTCGACTCCCCTAGTGACTCCCCTCTGCAGTCGTCTGTGCTTCCCTTCGAGCCCAAGGACCGTTTTCACGTTCCTGCCTCTTGGCGTCGTGTGGTCCAGCAGCCCTCAGCTGATGGGCTGATGGGCGCGGCATGGGCGAGACTCGACCAGGGACCCATGTGAGGGTTTGTGAAGCACATCCAGATGTGTTGGAGGCCTCCAGAAACCCTCCAGAGTTGGAAGGCCTCCCAATGTCGTCACATGGAAGACCACTTTTCTGTTTTGGACCAGGCTACCAGGGTAATTGATGCAGGGGAGGTGAAGATGTTCAACCAAGTACAACTGGAGAAAGTAGATCCTTGATGACCTTGATGGGATATTTTCCCTCCATTGGTTTGGTGATTAATCCGGTCCACCTATTAAAAGACCCGCCTCCCCCCTAAGAAGGAAACCTCGGTCGCATTTTTGTTAATAGGGGGTCCCGGAAATCGGGGTGGTCCAAAATAGGGTCACCTGGGAAGGGCTTCAAAACCAAAAAGTCACCCGCAGGAAAATTTCGTATAAAATCATATAAAATCCTTTATTAAACTCATATAAAAAAATCAAAAAACCTCCAGATCGAAGGGTCTTCCTTTTCCCCCTACAAAAACCTTGGCAGTTACGGTTGTTTTTGGAACCTAATAAAAACTCTGGAAATCGGCCATGTTGGTAGTTTAGTAGCGGCTTGAAAGGGCGGTAATTTAACAACAAATATAAACCGTATTTAGGGGGTTCCGACATGACTTTTTTCAATAGGGTCCGTTTTTTTTTATAGGTACTCGGGATTAGACGAAGAATTGATGGTTTTGATGTGATAGTCATGAGCTGAAAGAGATAAGTAAGTCAGTTGCGGCTCACAGATTTAGACCATTCGGGGATCCAAGAGAAGCCTTGGAGGGAAACAGCATGAAGCAGCTATCTTCTCACGCTTCCCACGTGTCATCGCTCAAGGCGCGCCTCTCAATGTGTCGCCAAGGTATTTCCTGAGCCCAGTGACCACCTGCAAGCGAGTCATGGACTCCAAGGACGTCCGAGAGTTCTCAGCCTTTCCGCAGCGCGGTCGCAGAATCGTTGCGGCTCGCGGTCGGCGGACGGTGCGATGGCTTTGATGTTTGTCCGGAAGCGTCGGGAAGAGGGTGTAGAGCTGGGTGGGAGCATTGATTGGCTTGAGTGATCATGTGGTTGTTCACAAGAGAGGAGAGAGCATAGATCATATGGGGACGTGTCCCAAATTCTGAAGGTCTCCCCATGAACTGGCTGCAGCAACCTTCAGACAGAATCTGAGAGCGTGGAATGGCTGCCACAAGCTGTGGCAGCTGCAGAAGCTTCTGTTTTCTGTTGGATGGCTTCGAAGCTGGAGCTTGTTGCACCCCTAAACCATCCTAAACCCTAAACGAACTCATACAAACACCAGGCAGCAGCGTTCTCATCATTTCTCATCCTGCACTGCAATTGCAAGATAGATCTTCTGAGGTTTGCCATGGGCATCTTCAACTGCTCGATATGGGTCTACTATGCCACCTGGCTCAGCACCTTCAGAGAATCCGGAGGATCCGGGAAGGCTCCCGCCTTTCATGCTTTACAGACGGGCTTCACACAGGCAGACAGCTAATCACCCCAACTCCCGAAGTATATCCCTAAGACAGGACACTAACTTCAGTGCAGCTCCCCACGACTGGCATGTTCTCACAACTCATCTCTGCTCATCCGGCCAAGTACGCAGTGACCATGGCATCCTCTGCAGCTGATTTGACGCCCAATCTCCTAGCTGCTTGATTGTACTCAGACGGGACGACAAGGCCTGCAGTGGCAGGGTGACAGGAAGAACACACAGTGGCGACCATCTGAACAGGTTGCATCCAATTCAGCAACAGTTCATGTTCTGGTTTTTTTCTGCTAGTTGTTGAGATTTTGGCATGGAGCTTGCAGCAGACATCACCCTCTGTTGGGAAGGACCTTGACCTAACAACCGCCTTGTTGTCCAAGAGCTACTCGTGTAACGCCTGAACCTGATGCAAGCAGATTCAGCAGATGGTGGCTTCAATTGTTTGTCAACGGCGTTCCGTGTCCGATTTCGGAGCCCGCCGACCTCGTCACCTCGTCCTTTCGGGCCGAGTCGCTTTGACGGTAGAGCATTCGGGTCTAGTAACAAAACACCGCTTTGGTGCTTCAATCAGATCCTGTTTCAGGTGGTTTCCTCACCAGGTTTCAATATGGGCAGTAAGTAATTAGTAGTGTTTACTTGACCGCAATATGTGCTTGGCCGTCGACCGGCTCGGCAAGCGATCTTCCGTCTTGCTAAGATCAATGCGGTCGGATTATTCATGTCCGCAGCTCAGTTGTATCAAGGCCGTTCTTTGATGCGAGCATAGCTGGTGAAGTCCAAGTATCAAGATGTCAAAAAAAGAGAGGAGTGAACAGAAACGAGAGGAGCGTTCACTCCTCCTCCTCCTCCTGCTCCTCCTCCTGCTCCTCCTCCTCCTCATCTCCATCATCAGGTTTTGAGTCGAAATTGGACTGACACCTACTCAACCCGTTGCAGAAAGAGAGGGAGAGACACAGGTCTATAGTTTGGCCAGTAGGTTTTTCAGCAAGTCGGTTGGTTGTGTGCCAGCTGCTTGGTGGTTCCTCGGAAGGGAGAATCGGAACGGAGATGCGCTGGTGAGGTTTATCATCTACATGTTCATCTTCTTGTTTTACGCAGGGCAGCTTGGCAAATTTCATCCAGTTTGGAGAGAATGGCGGGACACAGTTTAGTTGGAACCAGTGAAGGCCAGGCCCTGAAAAAGCTGACGGAGTTTCATGACTTGGACCCCCGCAACAAGGGAGGAGGTATAAATAAAACTATTGAAACTGTCAGGAGTCGAAATAAGAAACTAAGTTCACCAGGTGCACAGCAGATGTGCGATTGGCCAAAGAGTGACCGGGACATATATGGACATAACGCGCGCACACAAAAGTGCACACGTTAGTAGTCTGCTTGAACGATAATGCCCGATGGTGAGAGAAATCACTATCACTTGTGTTCTGAGTTGTTTAATGTATAACTGTTCTGGCCAATGTATGAAGGGCAAGAAACACACGCATTAATATAACAATGTATACATACATACACACACACATATTACAGTATATCATTTTATTTATTTTTTTTTTTGTCCGGCTCTTTTCAGTATATCATTTTAGTATATATCGCTATATATATATATCTTATCAGGACACATCCACAAAGCTCCCATCGTTGAACATCTTGCACGTGTCGGAGGGTTACAAGGTCTGCTCGCTTAGCCGACCGTTGGACTGTGGCCCATGGGCCTGATCGTCCCATGGGGTGGGGCTTCGTCGCTTCGTCGCGTTTGGCGAGACAACAGAGGTCACCGCGTGACAACCGTGCGACAAGCGTGAGAACCATGTGACAACCGTGATCGGGTCAGCGCTAAGGAGTCGCTTCAAAGAAATTGCGAGGCTTCTAGCCATCACCCTTTTTGTGGAGGCCATCTTCATCGCCTTCTTTGAAGGCGCGACAAAGAACCCCCATGGGCGCTCGCTCGAGGCCTTCATGCCCTTCTAATCCCTTCCCAATTCACTGGACCTCAAACAAAGTAGTGTTTGGGGAGCACCCACGAGTCCAACGCGAAACGGTCTGGACGAAACGAATGAAACCACGACAACCAACGGTCTGCGAGATTCGCTCGTTCGCCAGCCTTGACGCAGGTGTCGTCCCAGGTTTGAAGTGGGACTTCAACTTTGGCAAAGAGCCTCAACCGCTCAAAAGCTCCTGAGCGACGAATTCAATTAGGATGATGTTGGCATTTTTGGATCCGTTTGGCTTTGTGCGCCATTCTTTTTTCTTTGGGACGGCTCAACTTACTCTTCATAACCAGAGATGTGTGTGAGTCATCCTTCGGTTTTTCAAAACACGAAGATTTCCCTGGCGGTCAAAAACTGAATGATCACCATCCACTTGATTGTTGGACGCGCTTTCTGCTGTTTAGTGCCTAGAATGAGTCTGACACTTGGTTTTCGCAGGGTAACTGGACCTTGCAGACTTCAGGTTTCTCCAGGAAGGGAACGGGAGTTTGGACACATCAGGAGCTACTAGTAGCGTCCTTGCTCGTAGTAGCGATGCCAGGAGCTACTAAAAATAGCCTTCTTGTTACTAGTAGTAAGGTCAGGAGCCACTAGTAGCGTCCTTGCTCCTAGTAGCGATGCTAATCTTGATATAATCGTTGCCACTTCTCGCAAAACTCCCTCTGTCCTGGGGACAAGCAAGAGATTGCACGTTCCCCAGATCACAAGTTTTTGCAACCCAAACAACAACCACCACGTACCTAAGTAGAGGGGTGTACCATTTTTTGGGAGAGCCACCAGCCACCCCTATGCGGAGGCGAAGAAGGTTCAGAGGTCCTCCGTTCTTGGCCCACATGAAATGTGACAGGTGGTTCACCCCATAGCAAGCCTCAGGGGCCTTTCACCATGTTCAAAGCTTGTGAATGAGGGTCTGGATATGTTTGGATAGACATGTTTTCCACCTGTGTTTACTTAAGGCAGCCTGAGCGGTCTGGTTTGTGTGATCATCAACGTCTTGCTCTATGGCTCGCCCCTTGCGGTGATGCGCATGGTGATTGAGACGAAATCGGTGGAGCTTCTGGGACACAAGCTTGTGTGAATCAGTATCTTCTTTTTCTGTTTTTTTTCCCCAAACAGTGTGTCCACTCTGAGGGGTTTCTACGGTGAGTGAAAAAGCCCGGGTTCGATCAGGGTGCTCTCTCTGAGCTGGACGTTTTGGCTGCGCAGGCTTGCAGAAAAGTTCCGTCCTGAGATTTCCAAGTGCAATTTCTCTGCGCAGGGTCGCGCGAAACGCTGGCCGGGACGGAGCCGGAGGTGCGCTCTCGTTGTGGCGCCGTGCGCATTTTCGGACTTGGTGATCACTTTTCGTGGCAGGCGCAAGGGAAACCTCGTGTCTTGGTGGTCTAAAGTCGGCTTTTCGTGACAGGCGCAGGAGATCGGAGCAGGTTGATGTCGATGTGCAGGTTTTTGTGGCAGGCGCAGCACTTTGGACATGGTGGTCTTCGGCATGCTCTGATTTCGGCAGGTCAGTGAATCGTGATGTTGTGGCTCGTTTTCAGAAATTGTGGCATGCAGTTCTTTGTGGACCTTGAGGTGCACATGCCCGAGCGTGGGTCAAACTTGAATTTCGCCGCCGCTGCGCGTTTCGAGACTCGACCAGCCGGATCCTGCGAGAGGGTTCACTCGACGACGGCGCA